GGAGGGGGGGGGGGGGGGTGGCGCAAGGAAACGAGGCTGCCCCTGGGGAAGCAGGCAGGGAGCTGGTGTGCCAGACGGCTCTGGGTTCTAAGCAGCAAGGCTGATTTATAGATCCCCATGGCAACAGCTAGGCAATAATCTCTTACTCCACAGCTCAGTGATTCTCTAGAAATTCTTTCCTCCTCCCTTCACTGCCACTCTCCCCAGCCCCCAGAGGCAAGGTGACAGCTTCTTCCCCAGGAGGAATGGAGAAAGGATGAACCAAGATGCCTTTTTGTTTTTTTGGACAATGGAGCAGGGACACTGGGGTAGGGGGCAGAAGCAAAGAGAAAGAGGGGCTGAAAACCCCAAAGGCCCAGTCATCAGACTGGAAAGGGACTGCAGAAGGTGGTTCTCAGGCCACCTTAAAAATACCACGAAAATATGAATTACCTCCCTGGCAAGACGTGAGCATGCACGTGCACCCACGCACACAGAGTTCTGTGTGTAGTTTCGGGGAAGCGTGTAAGCCCCTTGGGACCTGAAGTAGGAAATTAAAAAATCATCTAATCTAGTGATTTCCAAATGAGGGCAACGGAATCCTAGCTTTAATCAAAACCGAACGTGATACCTCCAACAGTGGGGTTCTCAGCAGGGGCGATCTCGCACCCCAGGGGGTATTTAACAATGAGTGGGGATAATTTTGGCTGTCACAGTGGGGGGAGGGGGAGGTGCTACTGGCATCCACTGGGTAGAGTTCAGGAATGCTGTTCAACACCCCACAACGCACAGAACGGCTCCTGCCACAACACAGAAGGACCTGACCGAAAACGTTATAGTGCCAAGGTTGACAGTCTCTGGGGTAATGTCAAAAAAGGGTAGGGGTGCCTGGGTGGCTCAGGTGGTTAAGTGTCTGACTTCGGCTCAGGTCACGATCTCGTGGTCCGTGGGTTTAAGCCCTGTCAGCTCAGAGCCTGGAGCCTGCTTCGGATCCTGTGTCTCCCTCTCTTTCTGCCCCTCCCCCACTCATGCATGCGCGCGCGCGCGCTCTCTCTCTCTCTCTCTCTCAAAAATAAACATTAAAAAATACTTTAAAGGGGAGCTATTCATTCATTCAGTGGACTGGGTGAGGTGTGGGATACAGAGCTCCTCTGACATCCAACCTGACTCACGTTGGGACTCAGCTGTGTGACCTGAGGCCAGCTGCTACACATCCTGGGTTTTCATGTCTTCATCTCTAAAATGGAGATTATGAAATAGAACTACGGGGCTTGCTGTCCTGGGCACAGGACCATCTCTACAGGGGAAGGAAAGAACAAGGGTATTATTCTCTTTATTAGCATGACTGTTATTAATGGTGTTGGGGAAGATCTCACAAATGAGGGAGTCGATTTGTTGTGTGGTTTTTTTTTTTTAATTTATTTGAGAGAGAGACAGAGAGAATATGCAGGGGAGGGGCAGCAAGAGAGAGAGAGAGAGAGAATCCCAAGCAGGCTCCACACCGTCAGCGCAGAGCCCGATGAAAGGCTCCATCTCATGAACGGTGAGGTCATGATGTGCGCCGAGATCAAGAGTTGGGTGCTCAACCGACTGAGTCACCCAGGCGCCCCCGAGGGATTCAATTTCTAGTAAGTAGGAGAAGCATCTCTCACTGGCTAACCTGAGGGACCAGAGACTTCTAGGGACAGAATGTGTCCTCGGAAAAGGTATAATCCGAATCTCCAGTGTGATGGTATTAGGACGGCAGCCTTTAGAGGCAATTAGGATTAGATTACGTCATGATGGGATTAATACCCTTATAAAAGGAGAAAAAGACACTAAGTGACTCAACCTCCCTCCCTCTCTCCACGAAGGGAGGACCCAGCAAGAAGGCAGGAAGCGGGTCCTTTCCGGTCTCCGGAACCATGAGAAACCCATGTCTGTTGTTTAAGCCTCTCAGTCTGTGACGTTCTGTTATAGCAGCCTCAATGGACACGATTGGGGTCTTGTCACATGGAGGGGTCTTGTCGCACCGAAAACTTAGCACAACAGTGTGCTCATGGGACGGTTTCCCCCTGGGTAGCTTGTAAGCTAGCCCCAAAGTGTAGGAACTTCTCCCATCAGTGTGAAGCTAGACACTTGGCATAACGATTGTCTTGAAGAAGACAGACAACCCCCTTGTGGGCATGTCTGGTCTGGCAGTCTGTGTAAAACTCCACCTTGTAATTACATACCTACCCCTCCCACATTCACCAATCAGAATCC